TTCCGGAGTAGCTGCAGTAAACATACGCTTTTGAAATCACTCCACCCTGCCGGTATGTCTGGAATGTAGTTCCGGTTATGCATTTGCCTTGAAAATAACTCTTGTCTCGTAATTATACATTATTATTTTATAGCGAGGTGAATGTGCAGGTCACAACTTGTCCACGAGAGCGTTTTGGAGCTATTGGAATGTGTATGTGATGAGTTTTGAAGGAGCGAGGGACCTGTACCATTCACTTTCGTTATGTTCGCTGAGTAGCTCGCGTTTCCCTCCCCCGAATCTCAAAACAACAGGCACGGATATCTAAAGGTAATGTACCTACTCATATGACTATAGGGATTATGGCAATAGGCCAATTTGCCAAAATGTTGAAATATCCCTTTAACACTAGTAAAAAAATGGACAATCAAATGGCCAATCATAAATCCTTCTTTAACAGTCAGTCGAGAGAAGTCGTGGATTGTAAGGGCATGAAGTCCTAGCATGAGCATCTCTGCAGAAAGGGTAACACTTACTTGAAGGTATCATCATAAGAGTGACATGACACTGTCATAACTGTTACATGACACAGTCATGAATGTGTCATAAACATTATGTCAATGTCATAAACGTTTACGACTGTTGTCATTAAGTGTCATTTGGTTTTTGTAATCAGAAGTTGACATTGTTTGGGTTGTCTTGAGTCATTAACGTTTATGACATTGACATAATGTTTATGACATGTTCATGACTGTGTCATGTAACAGTTATGACAGTGTCATGTCACTCTTATGACAATACCTTCAAGTAAAGTGTTACTGCAGAAGAGTAGACCCTCGGAGGATGGAAATTAGAGAGGTTGTGACCCAGGTGACTGAAATATCTGCACGCCTGATGGAAAATTGATCTTCCTAACTTGTCTAATCCTTTTGGTGTGGGGACATTGACTGAAGAGCAGCATATGGTGAGAGATAACCACTCAATAACTAAGTTGTTGCGTGAGGAGATGAATGTAAGCAAGGTGAACATATTGTATAGCAGTAAAGAGAAAATACTGGGCAAATTCTGTGGTGGTTAGCAGTGGCGGTTCTAGAACCGGGAATTGAGGGGGCGCAGACATGTCCCTTCATGACAATTAGTCCTGGCTAGTTCTCAATCATTTTCCTTTACTGACGCGTTTTCCAATTATCGTAATTGGCAACTGAAGACATGGTTTCTCTCCATATGTGATCGAACAGCGATGAAATCATGGGCGAAATTCAGTACAGAAAAATAATTTACTTATTAATAGGCCAGTGCTTCGCGTTGATTGATTAGGTCCATGTTCCAATGAAATATCGCCTTTTCACTCTCGGTATTGCGTGGGTTGATTAAAAAAAAAAGAAAAAAAAAGGTGGCACTCGGCAGTTAAATAGGCAGCGTGCTGCTCAAGCTATTTGCGTGAGAGTTGACAGGTATGCAAATTTGAATAATGTTGATTTAGATGCAGCAAATACGCGTCCAGATGAATGTTTGTGTGACGGTGCGTTCAGGAACCACACGCAAGAGAAGGAAATCCAAAAAACTTATGCCTTTAATGAGTTCTGGGTCAGTACCAAAAAACACAAGAATTGCCAAGCCACAAAACGAAATCCACAAACAGAGTCGACTAGATAAGCCGGGGTCAGAACCAGTAAAACAGAGGAGCAACGGTACATAGACGGCAGGCAAAAAGTCGTAGTCGATAAACAAAGCAGTGGGTCATACACAGGGCATCCAAACATAGAAATCGTGGTCATACAAAAATAGGACGAAATCCAGAAAGACAAAAAAAATACAAAATGGGCAATGGCAAGAATCTTGGTCGGACGAAACAGTCGAAGCAAAACAATAATCAATGGCATACGAGAAGCTCTGCACAAAGAAATATTGATCAACGGTCTGACAAAGTCAGAACAGCAGTGAGGACTCTAAATAGACAGGAGGGAAGTCACATGCTATACAGGGAACAGGTGAGCTGGATCAGACTAATTACAATGGAAGGAACACATGAGGGAAATCCTAACCACAACAATTGGCGAAAGCCAAGACACAGACGGGAATCACGCACACAGCCTGTGACATTTAAACAGCTCTGGTCAGGGAGTTCTAAGTGCACAGACAATGAGTGCAGGAAAGCAATTAAGCACGTGCGAGAGATCTCGCAGAAACGCGGAGGGAGATAGGTAAAGCTGAGCAAGAGGCGGAGACTAGAACAGGGCGATTGCTGAGTTAGTAGCGGTGCAACTTTACAGATTTAACTTGAGTGCTCGTTAGTGAGTTAGTAATATATACATGGATTTGTTGGGTTAGTAGACTATGATACAAAATACAAATGTTAGTCTTGTTAGTAATCAGAACAGCAAGGCGAAGGAAGTAAATGAGAACTGAAGGAATATTATGAAACACCAGAGACCCATTGACATCACCCGAAGCATGTGAGCACACAGACCGGGGAGACGGACTGAACCAACTGGATACGAGACTCTGTCCCCTTGCCTCCCCAGCCGCTCCTCAGTTGTCTTAATGACATTAAAAACTGGATGACCACTAACCTCCTCCAACTTAATACTAATAAAACTGAAATTATGCTCATTGGTTCAAAAGCAACACTGTCCAAAACACCCAGCTTCCTCACAACCATTGGTGGTTGTCCTGTCCCTCTGTCGACGCAAGTTAAAAGCCTTGGTGTCATTCTTGACAATATCCTATCCTTTGAACCCCACATAAAAAACATCTCAAGGACTGCATTTTTCCACCTGCGCAATATCTCCCGACTCCGCCCCTCACTCTTCTAGCCTGGAATCCATCCATATCAAGCTTTGGTCGCTCCCAATGGTCACTTGCTTGTATTTCTGGCCTCAGTCGGTAGGCCAGCATTTGACTTTCAAATATTCGCACAAAATCCATGCGAGATCTGTGATTGGCTCACAGTCGTAAGGGTGCCCCGCCCCTTTAGACGGACTTAAAAATAAATAAAATACCACAGTTCTGCATTCAACGGAAGTCCCGCCTCCCGGCTCGTGTTAATACGAGTATTCTTCTGAGTGGCAGCAGAGTGTCTGGGCAATGAATGAGCCGGGAGGCGGGACTTCCGTTGAATGCGCGAGCTTACTTGAAGCATAACTGTGGTATTTTATTATTTTTAGCGAAAAATAACGCGTTTCTAGAGTTCTGAGGATATGAGTGGACAAAGCAGACTTGGATTATACTGGACGATGCGTTGGACGTTGGTTTGAAAGTTTGTCAACGGACATTTTGTGGAATTTTCCCATTGCTACTGGGTGACCCCATTTGCTTCCAGCAAAAAAGGAATTTGGATAATTTTTCAAAACTCTCCAGTGGCCATAAAAGTTAAGCCAGGTGAAGAACAACCGTCCGTTCAAGACATCTAACGGTGAGTAATTGATAAACAAATTATAGTTTTTGGGTGGAGTATCACTTTAATCTAGCTGATGCAATCATGCCATTCGAGCTATAGCTAATGCCAATTACAGTGAAATACGTTATGTAATTTGAGTATTATTTAATTTAGCCTTTATTAAACCGGGGAATCCTACTGAAATAAACAAACATTATTCTGTTCAAAACCTAACAACCACTCCAAGAGTAAACGCAAGCAAGCCACAATCAAATTTTTAAGCTCATGTCATATAACATTCACGAGTGCCGTTGCCGGCCAGCTAACTCATATTCAATTGGTGGTTCTCGCCAAAAGGTCACCCAATCAGCCAAGAGCAGAAAACATGAATATTCATATATTCACTTCATTAGTGACGTAAGGGCTAAACGCTGGCTATACGACTGAGGCCAGACTGATCAGTCAGTGACCGTTGGGAGCGACCAGCACTTGATATGAATGAATTCCAGGCTATCACTCTTTTACGCGAGTGCTGAAGTATTAATTCATGCCTTCCTTGATTATTGCAACGCCCTTCTCACTGGACTTCCCACTAAACTCACTAACAAACTCCAAATCATCCAAAACTCTGCTGCCCAAATCCTTACCCGCTGAAAGTCTTATGACCACATCTCTCCTGTCCTTGTTCAGCTGCATTGGCTACTGGTCAAACAACGCAGTGAATAAAAAATCCTCCTCCTCACATATAAGGCCATGCACACTCTTGCACCCCCCTACATTTCTGACTTTCTTCATGAGTACACCCCAACTTGCATTCTCCATTCCTCCTCAGCTAGTCTTCCCCACCACATGATTATCTACAATGGGTGATCGAGCTTTCAGCTCTGCAGCACCCAGGCTCTGGAATTCTCTACCAGCACACATCCGACATGCAGATTCACTAACACCTTTCAAAAAACTGCTCAAAACCTATCTGTTCACGTTTGCATTTCCTTGACTGTCCTTGCAATCTGTCTGTTGTATCATGTGACAACAATGTTAACCATTTATATTTTGTTTCATGTTTTTATTTATTGTCTATTATCTGTAATTGTGTACTGTTTTTGCTCCGTACGGTGACCTTCAGTGTCCAGAAAGGCGCCATTCAAATAGAATGCATTATTATAATTATGTCAGGAAAGGGCCACAGGTCTCTGGGTCTCCGTCGTAGCGCTCAGGGGCTCCCACTCGAGGTTCTGGGGCCCCAATGGGTAGCATGGGATCAGGAGCTGGTATTGGTACAGGAGGGGCAGCAGGCTGAGCCACCATGGATGTCAGATGCTTAAGTTGGCCGGCTAATGCAGCGAGGGATTGCCCGGTGTCCTGACATCATTGCTTCATGGTGTTGGAAGACGGCTTCGATCTTTTCGAGTTGTCTCAGGGGAGTGGGATTGTGTGCTGGGTCCATGACTAGTCAGACTGTACTGTCATGGGGAGTGGCAGGACCCAAATGCAACACAATCACCACAAGTGAAGTTTTACTGATTTTTAATGAGCTCTGAGCAGGGGTAAACAGAATGCAGAGCAGGGTAGCTTGGTGCAGATCAGGATCAGGAACTCGTGGATCTTGAGTGGCACTCTTCCGGGGACTCAAGGGAGCAGGTGCCCATGGTGAGATTGGAACCCGGGTCGCCCACACGGCAGGCGGGAGAGTTACCACTGGGCCACCAGGGCAGGCTTGCTTGAAGCTCGGCAAACAGGATTGTGTCCACTCAGGCAGGCAGCGGAGCGGCGAGACGGGTGGTCTGAGCAAGGGAAGACGGCTTGGAAGACGGCAGACGAGAACCAGGAAGCACACAGGCAGAACTCGGAGTCAGAGGCAGAAGGCTATCAGGTTTACCAGGGCAGGAACGAGGGGACGTAGTCAGAGGCAGGCGATTCCAGGAGGACAGACTGAAGACAAAGGCTTGAGAATAGTGTATGCTGCAATGATAATTTGGCAATGAGTGAGTGAAACAGAGCTGCCTAAATACTGGCTGGGTAGTGAGACTCAGCTGAGAACAATTGCAGTGCAAGGGGTGTGGCCAAGCAGGGCGAGAGACGACAGCAGCAGTGCAGACTGTGACAAAGTGAGAAAACTGGAAGAAAGCCATAGAGGTGGAAAGAAAAGGTCTGGAGGCACTACTGGCAGAAAAGAGCAATGGATAGCAAAGCTGTGAAGAGCAGAATGCCTGGGAAAACAGTAGAAGAAGAAAGAAAGTGCGAGTACAAGTTTGTCAGTGCATCTTCCGCAAGAAGAAAAGCGGGAGCCTTAAAGCATCAGAGGCACAAGCTAATCATCAATCCAAAGGACAAGCCACCAATCCACCCACCTATGCATCAGATGGATACAAGGCCCCCCCACATTGAAAGAGTAGTCAAAGTGCATAAGATAAAAAAAAAATTTCCAGTTTTTGGTTGTTTAAAATATGAAATAAATGAAAACTTTTTAGAAATGATGAACAACAGTATTTGTTAACTTTCTGCCACCCAAAATACACTGAATCTCCCAGTCCCGGAAACTGGGTCCAAAAATGCCTAACTCGGGACATGGGTGTAATTGACTGCAGTCTCACAATGGTTCAGCTTTGAGTCATTTAATGTACATTTACTTACCGAAATCAGCGCGATGCCGTTGCGCGAATTTGACTCATTTTGTCCTGAAAGTGGGATCTGAGGGAAACACATGCATCAATATGCCCGGTGTGTAAAACGTATTTGTACAGCTCCGGCTGTCCGGTGCTCCAGCCACACAATAACTGCCTCCTGTCTTCAGTCTTCCTCTTGCTCTCTGCCATCTTGTGTTGTGAGTCAAATCAACAAGAGTAAATCATGCTTTTGCTACAACTTTCTAGTCAAAATAGAGGTATATTTGAATGCAAAAAATGGGCTCAATTAAATTTTAGATTTGTTCAATCACAGAATGCTATTTTACACATATCGAAGAACCAAATACTGCAAAAAAATAAATTGTGTCATACACACTTTAAATGCAGTAAAACGGGGAAGAATTGTTTCAATACCAGGGTGTAAGGACATTCTATACAGGCTCTACAAGAACACCCCTGGAGTCCTGAAACACCGCTGGAAGTTGATGAAAGTGATACAGGGAAAAGGAATTCTACCCGCAGTTTGGTGAAAGGAATTGGTTTCTAAAGATAAAGGTGTGAATCGCGTATTTCTGGTAAATGAGAAACAGACATTTTCAGTATATACGGGCAGCGCAACTTCAAATTGACATGATCCTCAAAGTCCTCAAGCAAATTGACGACACTACTCTTCCAGGGAAGCTGAAGATTTGGCGCTTCGAGTTTAGCCTGCTGCCTCATCTCATGTGGCCATTTACCAACTATGAGGTCAGTGTACCTCAAGCTAAACGACTGGAGAGTCTGGTGAAGGCCCAGGTGAGGAAGTGGCTGCGGTTACTGTAATGTCTCAGCAGCATAGGGGTTTATGGGAACTGAGTCTCGTCTCATCACTGTTGATTTCTGCCCTGGTGGAGGAATATTAATGTGCCAAAACAAGTCTAGAGATGACATACGCAGTGTTGGGACCTAGTTGTCAGAGCTATTGCTCCACCCCTATCCACAGGAAAAAAATGGACCCCAACTTAACCCTTAAATTCCCAATTATAGTAAAAGTTGAAAGAAAAATCTGTGTATTCTGTTAATTTGTCCTTGGGAGGGGCTAATAACAACCCAATAGCAATTTTAAATTTTTGGTGACCTTTGACCTCATTTTAGTTTTGTGACATATATGTCACAATGGGCATTTCGGGGACCTTGTTGCTAAAATGAACTGAATGATAAAACAGTTGACATATGGCTGAAGTATTAGGCATAGCTTATTTTTCATTAGCTTACCTGTTTGTCTACTTTATTCAGTGCTGAATGGGTGCTGATCTATCATGTGGATTCCACCATGGGGGTGGCCATATTGGAAAGGTTAGCTGGTGCAGCCAGTGAAGTGTCAGTTCCACTTTTATGCATCAGATGGCAGCACTGATGGTCTAAATATGTCACTGTGGGCATTAGGTCGCAAAATTTATGTGGGGTCAGTGGTTTTGACAACCCCCAAAATCGTGTGACAAATTTGTCACGGGGCATTTAAGGGTTAATGCAGCAGTAGACGCAAAATCTGCCTTCTGGCCACGGGGCATAGTGGTACATCTCCAACAAGGCAGAGAGGGCTTTGGCCCAGGATAAATGAAACCCACTTAGCAAATGAAAAGGGTCATTTACTGGTTTTAGTTGAAAAGAGGAGATGCCCCTTGAGCTCCCAAGTGACCATCTGTGTCAAATTGGTGCCATGGAGGGCCAAGAGGCTGCAGGTTTTCATTCCATCCAAAAACTCCACCAGGTGAGTTCAATGATTACCTCACCTTCAAGCAGAGAGAAGGGACAAACTGTATTTTCGAAACTCCTTGAGTATCAGCTACCATAGCTCTTTAGCAACCATCATTTGTAGATGATGAATAATTACAACACTTCTTAGCTAGCTCAGTCTTCAGGCACCTAATATATCTGATGGAGAAAACCAGCAGCTTAAGCCACTCTGTAAAAAATTGCGGAGGTGCAGATCTACCTCCCACCTGATCAGTCCATTTTACCTTAATGTGTACCCCATAATTAGAATACTCATGAATCAGTGCAAGGAGTATAATCAATGAGCTCGTTAACATTAGAATTCCAAAAATTTGAACTTGAAAGAAAGGGACCTGCATAGACCCTTTTCACTGTCTGTAACAAAAGAATTTCATTGGAATTGACTGTCACTCAGATTGGAGAGTCGTGTTTTCTCCGCATTACCCACAACTCAGAGAAGGGGCCCCGTTTAGGGGGCTTTCAAGGCACCAGCGGGGGGTGCGCTATAATGCCTTCATAGAAGGCTTAATGCGGTTTTTATAAGTCATTGCAAAATGTGTCATGGTTTTGGAGGCTGGCGGTGGCTTTGGGAGCTTTCTTTGTTGCTCTCGTCCGGGACGATATTGTTTTGCCCACAATCGGATTCTTGGGCCAGCTGGCATTAATTGGGAGCAGCACCCGGACTCTATTTAAGCCCAAGTTCCGCCTCGCTGCCCTTGCTAGAGTGTCAGTGTTTTGTTTGCACTATAGCTGGTAAGGTCTCTAGTTAGAGAGTTGTTGAGGAATTAGCTGCAAAAGAGGAAAGTGCTAGTTAGCAAGGGAATCTTTCTCTCTGTTTTCCTCTTTCTGGGCACTGTCTGGTGCTAGTTCTTTTTATCTCGGTTTCCAAGACTTTTCCCTTTCTTTTCGTTCTGTCGAGCTCGCGTAGCTTCCTTATTGTTACTCGGACTGGATCTAGGTCCTTTGGAAGTGCGAGTCTCCCTCTCTGATTTCTGTCTGTGTTTGTATCCTATTTTGCTATTCTTCCTTTCGTTCCGGCCACAGCATTTGGCGTCTCAAAAACCTAACCGTCACAAAATTTGCCAATTTGAGTGGCCATCGGGGATCCTAAACATTTGCCTGTTTTGGAGGGACCCAATTATTTGTCCGGTTTGCCTCTCCTGGCGGTGCGCCTCTGCATGTTTTCATACAGTCAAGGTTTTGGATGTTAATTCTTGTGTGACAGTTGGGGGCCCCCTAGCCTGGCACCGCCAGCCTTCGTACTTCCGCTCAATTTCATTTCGCTTCACCACTCAGTCTGGTCACTCGGAGCTCTGCTTCGTTTACCATGGCAGAAAGTACGCCAGACCAACCAGCGAACAGAAGGCGTGGCCGAGAGCCATGATGTAGCAGCTGCACCGAATTTGAAATTGTAGTCTCCGAAATCAACAATGGCTACGGAAATAGATGCACGGGAGGCTATTCGCTCTGTCGTGGAGAAAATCCTGGGTATCAGCGACTTATAGTCACAACAAGATGAATGTTTGGTTAGTTTTTTGAATGGAAATGATGTTGTAGCGCTACTCCCTACAGATTGTCATATCTACTATTAGCCATCATGAAATGGGCACCCTGTTCATCTCTGTGAGAGACAGCCAAACCACCTAAGCTAGTTTGTAGCTTCTAGTGTTACATTGCCCGCGAATTTAACACTATTTAAGTTAGCAGCGAACTTTTTAAAAGCCGTGTTTTTGTTTGTGTCACAAGACCTATTCGCTGTCTCCATGTTATGTTGTCATTGTCCATGTATAAAATGGCTGCTTAGAGCCAAACTGAGTTGCTATAAAGTTAGATAGTGAGCTCAGTATGATGTTAGTGCAAGTATGGTTAACGGTTCAGTTTTCGTGTCAACGCAGATTTCGTCCTGATGTAAATAATGCGTTATTCTTGCCGATTCTGCCGTTGGTTTCGGGTCTCCTACATTTTTTTTTAACAGCGGCAGTATCTGCAGGAAAAACGATAGCTCAACAGTTTGTTTCTTGTAAGGAGAACAGAAAGAGCACCTTTGGTTCTTTTAAGTGAATGAGTGAATGCTAAACTTTGTTAGATGGGCATATGTATGGGTACAGTATTAACTTTATTGTACTGATCAGTTTGTTTTCACTGCATTCCTGGTATGAAGGACTGCGTTTACAGCAGAAGTACGAGGCGGCTGAGCCGGCGCATAACATACGTCATCGCCAAACGTTAGTGATTAGTTTGCCGGTACACCAATGATTTTAAACTTCAGACAAGCGCCCACCCACCAGGAAGTAAACATTTGTCAATGACGACCGGCCAGACTCTGTGTAT